TCATGAAAATGCTTTTTCTTGTTTTATAATATTTTTATACAATATATTTAATTACTTTTTATATTTTTTAAAGAATTAAAAGAAAATATTTTTAATTCATTAAAATTTCAAAATCAAATTAAACCTCATTAAAAAGTTAAAATCAAAATATTCATAAATCCAACTTATTGAACTCTTGAAATGATTTCAATGATAATTTTTTTTTTATTTTATTGTTGTTCTTAGAGGTTATGAATTCGAATATATGCATTAATGTGATTGAGCGTTCATTATCAAACGATTAAAAATATTTAGAACATATATTATTTTATAAGCACGTTAACTTAATCAAAAATAAATCAAAGGATAAGGCCTACGAGGAAATGTACAAGAGATTAGACACCAAAGAATGACAAAACGACATCTTCAGGCTTGCAAAATACATGGAGAATAGTAAAAAAGATCTAGGTAACATTAGGTTTATTAAGGACAACAATAATGTTCTTTTAGTGAAAGATCATGATATTAAGAGGGTTTGGGGTAGTTACTTATTTGGCTTATTTAATAACGGTGACTCTCCCTGCAGAGATAGTAACGTTGATGGGTCAGCCGACCATCATACTACGACCAATGACTGTCCTACAAGTAGGATTGGGATTGAGGAAGTCAAAATGGCCCTTAGAAAGATGGGGAGGGACAAAGTTGTCGGTCCAGATCAAATTCCTATCACTGTGTGGTTGACCCTAGGAGAAGAGGGAGTTAAGTGGTTGACCAACATCTTTAATATTATTTTAGAGTCTGCCAAGATGCCAGAGGAGTGGAAAGAGTCTACGGTGATACCAATCTATAAGAATAAAGGAGATCCCCAACGTTGTGGTAACTACAGAGGTATTAAACTAATCATTCGTACAATGAAGCTATGGGAAAGAGTGATAGAGGCTAGGTTGAGACAGGTTACTAGGGTTTCGAAAAACCAATTTGGCTTTATGTCAGACAGGTCTACTACGGAGGCGATTCATCTACTTCGACGGCTTATAGAGAAATATAGGGGGAAAATAGAGATCTTCACATGGCGTTCATTGACCTTGAGAAGGAGTATGATAGCGTACCCCGCGATACGATCTGGAAGACCTTGGAAACGAGACGAATCCCAACTGCTTATATCCGGGCGATTCATGATATGTACTGTAGATCTACTACATACATCAGGACTACAATTGGCGACACCGAGGCTTTCCCAGTGGAAATCGGACTCCACCAGGGGTCGGCTTCTAGCCCTTACATCTTCGCCTTGATTAAGGACTACATCTATTGTGCGACACCAAACGGTGTTCCATGGTGTATGCTTTTCGCTGACGACATTGTCCTAGTTGCTAAAATAAAAAATGAGTTGAATAGTAGACTTGCTACCTGGAAGACTTCTTTGGAAGAAAAAAGTCTGAGGATCAATATTGAAAAGACAGAGTATTTATGTTCAAACTTCAGTGTGAACCAAAACGATGAAGATGTAGAAGTATGCATCGAAGGACACGTTCTCCCCTCAAAGGATTGTTTCAAGTACCTAGGGTCTATGATATATAAATATGGGGTTGTAGATGATGACGTTATGCACCGCATAAAGGCGAGATGGCTAAAGTGGAGGGCTGCTACTGGAGTTTTGTGTGACAAGAAGGTGCCTCTAAAACTCAAGGGAAAATTTTATAGAATGGCAATAAGATCAGCACTGCTATATGGATCAGAATTTTGGGCAATCAAGAAGGATCACGTAAGGAGGGCGGAGGCCGCAGAAATGAGAATGCTTTGATTTGCATGTGGTAGGACTCTGTGGGACATGAAACTAAACTCTGCTATTAGGATGTCCTTGGGGGTGGTGCATGTATCCGAAAAATTGAGGGAGGGAAGACTACGGTGGTTTGGGCATGTCCTTACGCGACAACCATCGAATGCGGTCAGGAAGGTTGGTCGATTACAGTCGATGGTGCCAGAAGGGGAAGACGACCAAGGAGGAAGTGGGTAGACTGCTTGAGATCTGATTTGAAGGATTTATCCCTTACCGAGGACATGACCTCTGATAGGAAAGTATGGAGACTTAAGACCAGGGTAGCCGAGTAGTGTGGGTCAACAGCTATAGAGTGTAGCATCTCTGTCTTCTTTTTAATTGTCTTTGTAGTAATTTCCATGGCCTCTACTTTTTATACGTTTCTATCATTGGAATTTATAAAGGCTTAGAACTAAGGTAGCGGAGTAGTGTTGCCTTAGTTTAGGTTTTAATCCATTTTGACTTTATTCCTTCTCGTAGCCTGCTATCGCTGACTTCTGTGTATCATTCTCTTCATGTTTCCTCTTTTTTAATTTAGTCGGGACTTGTGTTTCTGTCTATATGCAGAGATTTTTAGGCAGGGATTTATTTGCAGGGATTACTTCCCATTACAGACGCACATATGAATGACTGCATATGAAGACTGTTCAACTATGTATTTATTTATTTATTTATACATGCATTGTATTTTATCTTTATTTTTAATTTTCTGACAGCCAGAGGTCTTTCACAGAAGCTGCTCTCAACCTGGTGTTGGGTGCAGCCTACTAACCTACCTCCCCTTACCCCATTGCATATGTGAATAGGGTTTTGTTGTTATTGTTGTTTGTTGTTGTCAAATTCCATTTGTTAATGGCAATAATAATATCGTTATCCATTCAAAATATAAACTTTTTACATACTGCATCACATATGGCGTTGTTATCAAATGCCTTTTGAAGTGCAATACATTCTTTCATATATGCTTCCCTTCATCATCAGGGGCGTGGCTGGGGCGGCGCGAACTACGCGACCACGCAGGGCCCCCAAAAAATGGGGTCCCAAAAAAGTATATATATAGTGGCGTTTTTCCAATAAACGCCACTATAGATGGACCTATTGCGACGTTTTTTCAAAAAACGCCACTATTATTGTGCAGGCCCCAAAAAAAATGCCCAAAAAAAATATATATAGTGGCGCTTTTCCAATAAACACCACTATAGATAGACCTATTGCGACGTTTTTTCAAAAAAAACGCCACTATTGTTGCCCTAAAATCGAATATATCTAAAAAATAGGGCCCTTTATAAGAATTTGTACAGGGCCCCCGAAAACCTAGCCACGACCCTGTTCATCGTAACTTTCAGATTTATGATCCTTCTGTTGGACCTTTATTAGGCTGGAAAAGGTGGAGAACTGGCGCATGATGAGACAACAATTATAGCTGGAGCACTTGAGCTCACTGAGAAAGAAGCTAAAGATGCCATGACTCCAATATCTGAAACATTTTCAATTGATATTAATGACAAGATTGACAGGTTTGATTTTCTGTAAATTATCAAGAAAGAGGGCTTTTGCATTTCTGTTTCAACTCGCATTAGATGTTATAAATTGCCATTACATGCTTGCTATGGACAGGGAATTGATGAGTTTAGTTTTGGAGAAAGGATATAGCAGAGTTCCAGTTTATTATGAGCACCCTACAAACACTATCGGACTTATTCTGGTAATCATTTTTCTTCGGCTAAAACTAATATCATTTACAGTTTGCTGAGTGTTATCATGTAATTGTTTCCTACTTATCTTTTCACTCTCCTTCAAACTGCTCCCTTTTATGCCATATGAAATGACGGGCTTTCAGTTAGCCCCTGCTAAATTTTACATGAATCATTAATGCATCCCACCACCTTTGTACCCCATTTCTCTATAGATTTCCCCTCAAGTGCTTATTATCTGATGGTATATTTAGAACGAGTCCCCTTCTGAACATTTAAAATTTTCTTACTTTTTTTTTATCTTTCCCAAATCCTTAGGTTTTTACGTTAAAATGTTTTTGGGTGTTAATTGTGTTTTTATTAAACACCGTTTATCTTTTAATCTTACAGGTCAAGAATTTATTGACTGTTCACCCTATAGATGAATTGCCTATGAAGAGTGTCACCTTACGAAAAATTCCGAGGTATCTTACAGTAAATCAACTCTAAAAGAAATGGACAACTCGTATCTGTGTGTTGCTCTGCAAATAATTAACTGTCCACACTACACTCATTGGTTGAGCCTATATATATGTGCTTGTTACAGGGTTCAAGAAACATTGCCATTGTATGATATATTAAATGAATTCCAAACACGTCATAGCCATATGGCTGTTGTTGTAAGACGGTTCAAAATGACGGAGCAGCCACCTTTTAAGGAGGCGTCGATGGGTGAGTAATACCCTCTATTTATGCCTGTCTGCCATTTTGATATTTATTGCTTAATATTTTTCTCTTTATCTGCTTGTTTCTGTCTTAAAATAGGCCCTTTTCCGGAAGTGAAGGTCGACATTGATGGTGAGAAACAGAAACAAGATAATGCTTTATGACGTAAACGTTCACTGAGAAAGTGGAAGAGCTTTCCTGCTACACCTAATTCTTTTAAAAGTGGTCCTCGGAGCAGGAAGTGGTCAAAGGATATGAATTCAGACATCCTACATCTAAATGGCAATCCACCCCCAACACACCCCGAAGAAGAAGATTCTGTTGGCATAATAACTATGGAAGATGTCATTGAAGAGCTTTTACAGGTACCTAGTACCCATTACTAATGTCAGTATGCTTCTTAATTTTCATTTTTGCCGACCATTTCTCACACATTTGCCTTATACGTGACCTTGGCCAGGAGGAGATCTTCGACGAGACAGACCATCATTACGAGGACTCATGATATTCGACTTGCCTTGTTGTGAACATTTTTCACGTTAGTGAGTGATTATTTACGATTCTTTGTTTGGCACGTAGAATTTTAGGCACACTTGAGGCTGAATTGAGTTGTATGCGAAATGCATTAGATAGTTGAGTGAGGAACATATTTTTGTAAGTACGACAAAAACAAGCAGTTCGTTTATAAATGTATGGTTATTTAAAAACCTGAAGTTATGTCCACGTAGACCATACAAGCACTGAACTGAAAGGATTTCATTAGTAATCAAATTAGTGTCTATAAATTCACAAATTCTTTGGTCCAAACGCTCATTTTCATCATAGAACAAGGAACGACCCGTTTTTACATGCTACAACCGATCATTGATTATTGCCAAATAGTACATAGATTGATTTGATAAAACTAACTTCTGTAAATCCTTTGCATAACTCACTTGCCATGTTTGCTTCTTTTCTCCTCCTTCCTCTTCTTTTTCTTATCTTTTGGTTTTTCTTTAGATCTGTGCTTCCGTCTGTGCTTTTTATCTGAGCTTTTAGAGAGTTCCTTTTCTTTCTTCCATCTATGTTCTCCATCAGAAGATTCATCCCATCTCAATGAAGAAGGCTTCCCAAGGCCCAATGTGACACGATGGTCCCTTGCAACAAAGTTTGTTGATGCCATTTTCGGGGAATCAAAGTTTGCTGGTAGGTATGGTCCTGTCTCATCCATCCTTGAACCTATAGAACCTCGACCACGCTTTACCCTGTCATCATAAAACGTGTTCATGCCAGTCCAAACCATTAACTCTTCACACAGTTTTTTAATATAAGCATAGCTGGTTGAAGTTACAAACCTTGACTGAAGAAATTGCTCAATCTCTTCATCCCTTAGACCTCCATCTTCCCTTGAATAAGAACTCTCAGTCATCCTCTTACTTGATGAGCATGAAGCACTAAAATCGCTGTCATGCTTCTCACTGGTCATTCTGGAGGAACTGCAACTGTCCCCAGGACTCTTGCGGTGTCTGGTGTCGTTTTTTGATCTTCCTTTTAGCCTATCATTTAGCTCCAACTCCTTCTGTCGAACTCGCCACATTTCATTCACTTCAACAACTCGATTAGCTAATGAGAAAGAGGGGAAAGAAACATACACAGACAACACACATTAGCAACAAAAATCTGAAAGGGAACAATAATTTACAGGATAAACATTTAACTAAGTTCCACAAGAATATCAATAGATTTTATTTCTTGTTCAAAATTATCAGATTACAATATACAGAAAAACACAGGGCAAGGGGGCAATTGAAAGATTGCCATTTTATTTTCAACTATTTTATATGATTCATTCCATGCTCATAGCACCAAATTGCGACCGCATTGTAATGGTTTTCAAGGTCGTCACGACACCACAACTACATCCACAATTTAGAATCATAATCTTTTTAAATCACGCCATAACATCCACAACCGCATCCCATAGTACTAAATGGCATGCCCTGTACCATAATTATACTTTCGAAGAGCACCTAAGCAGAACACTAATTTGTTTTAGGCATGTGAAAGCACTCTCAGTTCTTCTCTCATACGTTCATACAGGAATTTATAGAACTAGTCAATGTTGTTAGTAAAATCTAGCCTCGCTCTAGAATTTGACAGCAAGTAAAGAAAGTGAGAACCTAACATCAATAACAAAGCACTTAAACCTAAGAGCATACAACAGAAAACGCAAGCTTGCTAAAGCTACAGGACGACTAACCTTGCTGTACACCAAGAACAGTTGCAGTGAGGAACCGTGAATTCGGCCGACCCCTTACTATAGGCTGCCGAAGATAAACATGAACACCTTCTCTGTCAGCTTGTCGTCTCAATTCTGCCGCCTCTTTTTAAGAGAATAGAAGCTATTCTGTTTTCGGTTTCCAGATCCATCTAAGCTGTAAGATCATATTCAAACCCAGCTGAGTCAACAGATTTCCCATTGAGAACACAGATGATCTAAAATCACCAAAAGAAAATCTTACTTATAAAACCCAACAGGAATTTATCCATGACAAAACTAATGTACACAAATTTGAACAAAAAAGCGCTGAAACCAAACAAGATCCATTCCAAAGCTATTAGAAACATTTGAACTTATCCACACGCATCGGCACATAGGAAAAACTATACCTTTTCGTTAACATCACACTCCAAGGAAAACCCAGCAGTTCAAATCGAAAAAGTACTCAAAAAAGATATTAGAAACTCGTTTTCTCACGGACAGCATCGACAATAAGGTTTCTCCGCAAAATAAACATCAAGAACAAGAAAAAAGAGAAATCTTACACAACCGATGAACGGACTGATGCAATTCCAAAATGAAAATTCGAATCAATTGTAGCAACCGCTGCGATTCTCCTTCGAGATCGGAAACCCTAATCCTGAGTTTATTCTAATCGAGAGAGCCTTTTTCGCTTCTAATAGTATTTATTTGAAGGGTAAACCTTTTAATTTAATATTAAATTTAATTTTAATATATTTCCTAACGTTTTTAGTTGTAAGTATTAAAAAAATAATATTTTCGATTTAATCGAAATGTTAGAAAGAGTATAATATTTTATATTTTGTTCAACCGAAAATGTTATATTTTTTATCACGTTTATTTTACCATTTTTTTACATTAAATTAGATTGTTGTTTTCTAAACTTTTTCGAATTAAACTCTTAAATTATTTTGTGAATTTCAGTATGAATATCTTTAGAAATTTTTAACATTTAAATTTTACTTTGCTTATAAGTCTTATTTTTATTAAAAAAAATCTTTTTTATCTATCATTGTTCACAACAATATTAATATTAGGGTAAATTACACGGTTCCTCACTCTACTTTACTATCTTTCCTATTTTGCTCACCGAATTTTTAATTTTTCTAATTTGTTCACTGAACTTTACATAGTTAATCATTTTGCTCACTCTGTCGTTAACTTTTTAATGGCGTTATGACACGGCACAGGAATCAAAACGACGTCGTTTTGAAAAACTCAAATATACTCTAAAACGACGTCGTTTTGGTGAGTAAAAATATGAGATAGAGTAAAGTTTAATGACTCATCTGGTGGTTGTTTCACCGGAAAAATATCCCAAAAACTTGTGAATTTAGATTAAAATGTTTCGGTTTCCTCACTTTCAATCTTAAATTCGTGGACTTCGAATTAATTTCCGACAAAATAGAGATCGGATCCGAACTCACGACGTTGAGGCGAAGCGATCCATCCCATTTTGAGACCAAACGACCACCATCTATGGTCGTCAACGATGGCCCGACAGTGGCATCCAACCACCTTCTATTTTTTTTTTATATTAAATAACCAAAAAACAGCTTTTAGAGAGAAAACAGAGAGTGAGCAAAATTATTCAATTTATAAAGTTTAATAAGCAAATTAGAAAAATTGAAAGTTTGGTGAGCAAAATAGGAGAGAATAAAGTAGCATGAGAAACGATATTATTTACCCTTAATATTAAAACATTTACAGTTTTTTTTCTTTTTTTTTCTATTATATTGATTTTTTTATAAAGCTTATTTAAAAAGTAGTGAAAATTATTTAAAAAAATTGACGTTTTTAAAGCTTCAAATTTATTTGAAGATCATCTGATAAGATTAATTTTAAGTATGTTATTTGTCATTTCAAAATAATACTTATTATTGTTTTATTTTCGAATAAATATCTCAACTCCTTAAAATATTAAAAAAAATCTAAATTTAAAAAATAATAGCTTTCTTTTGTTTATTAAATGATTTTAAAATAAATTTTTTAACAAAACTAAGTCGATCAAATATAGAAATAGTAAAATAAATTCGTCGATACTTAGTTTGGTCATAAAATATGTAAGGGAATGATAATTTTTTTACGACAATTAAAAATGAATGAAAACTCTAATTTAGATGAAAAAAATATGAATTGAAATAAAAAATATATTTTTTATTATACATCGGCATCAAAACTATTATATCATTTTACTATTAATAATTTAAGGATTAGTTTTAATTGAATCTAAAATTAAAATCGAATCAATTTAAATTTTACGATAAAATTGATAAAATTAAGATTTTTTTTTTACAAAATATAAACCTTATGGGGGTGTTCGGTTCACGGAAAAAATCATTATCAAAGGAAATGATATTTTTCAGAATTGTATTCTCACGTTTGATTCACGAAAAATATCATTATCAGGTAATAATTTATCACCAATAATAACATTTTTGGGTTAAAATGGTGGAAATGTCAATACCTCCAATTTCTTAGGTAATGAATAATTTCTACCATTGGACAAAAATACCCTTGAAATACTATTTTTTCTTCATAGATCCTTTTCAATTTTTATCTTTGTGCTTTACTCTAGATTATAAACTTAAGAATAACATACAAAGAGTTTAATTTAATAAAATATTAATAGTTTGAATAGTTAAAATTATTTTATATTTTATATTTTAATATTTAATATATTAAATATTTTATAATTTTATGAGATGAAAATATTATTATCGTAGAAATATCAATATTTAAAATAATATTTAATTTTGAATTATTAAAAAATAGATCTTATGCATTAAAAATAATATATTTATCTACTAGATATCATAATAATATTTTTCATGTTATATTATATTTTTTATAAGTAAATATGTTACTTATGAAAATTATTTAAAATTATAAGGTGTATAGGAATTATATTAATTATATTTAAATGTATTTTTTTAAAATGTAGTGTAATAATTAAAATTTTTAAAAAAAAAATTCATTCATATTTTATAATTTAATATTAAGTTTTATTTGTTCGACGTTGAGGCGAAGCGATCCATCCCATTTTGAGACCAAACGACCACCATCTATGGTCGTCAACGATGGCCCGACAGTGGCATCCAACCACCTTCTATTTTTTTTTTATATTAAATAACCAAAAAACAGCTTTTAGAGAGAAAACAGAGAGTGAGCAAAATTATTCAATTTATAAAGTTTAATAAGCAAATTAGAAAAATTGAAAGTTTGGTGAGCAAAATAGGAGAGAATAAAGTAGCATGAGAAACGATATTATTTACCCTTAATATTAAAACATTTACAGTTTTTTTTCTTTTTTTTTCTATTATATTGATTTTTTTATAAAGCTTATTTAAAAAGTAGTGAAAATTATTTAAAAAAATTGACGTTTTTAAAGCTTCAAATTTATTTGAAGATCATCTGATAAGATTAATTTTAAGTATGTTATTTGTCATTTCAAAATAATACTTATTATTGTTTTATTTTCGAATAAATATCTCAACTCCTTAAAATATTAAAAAAAATCTAAATTTAAAAAATAATAGCTTTCTTTTGTTTATTAAATGATTTTAAAATAAATTTTTTAACAAAACTAAGTCGATCAAATATAGAAATAGTAAAATAAATTCGTCGATACTTAGTTTGGTCATAAAATATGTAAGGGAATGATAATTTTTTTACGACAATTAAAAATGAATGAAAACTCTAATTTAGATGAAAAAAATATGAATTGAAATAAAAAATATATTTTTTATTATACATCGGCATCAAAACTATTATATCATTTTACTATTAATAATTTAAGGATTAGTTTTAATTGAATCTAAAATTAAAATCGAATCAATTTAAATTTTACGATAAAATTGATATAAATTAAAGATTTTTTTTTACAAAATATAAACCTTATGGGGGTGTTCGGTTCACGGAAAAAATCATTATCAAAGGAAATGATATTTTTCAGAATTGTATTCTCACGTTTGATTCACGAAAAATATCATTATCAGGTAATAATTTATCACCAATAATAACATTTTTGGGTTAAAATGGTGGAAATGTCAATACCTCCAATTTCTTAGGTAATGAATAATTTCTACCATTTGGACAAAAATACCCTTGAAATACTATTTTTTTCTTCATATAGATCCTTTTCAATTTTTATTCTTTGTGCTTTACTCTAGATTATAAACTTAATAATAATAACATACAAAGAGTTTAATTTAATAAAATATTAATAAGTTTGAATAGTTAAAATTATTTTATATTTTATATTTTAATATTTAATATATTAAATATTTTATAATTTTATGAGATGAAAATATTATTATCGTAGAAATATCAATATTTAAAATAATATTTAATTTTGAATTATTAAAAAATAGATCTTATGCATTAAAAATAATATATTTATCTACTAGATATCATAATAATATTTTTCATGTTATATTATATTTTTTATAAGTAAATATGTTACTTATGAAAATTATTTAAAATTATAAGTTTGGTATAGGAATTATATTAATTATATTTTAAATGTATTTTTTTTAAATTATGTAGTGTAATAATTAAAATTTTTAAAAAAAAAATTCATTCAAATATTTATAATTTAATATTAAAGTTTTATTTGTTAAAAAATATTTATCACAAGGACAATTTGGTAAAACATGCATCCAAGTAATATTATATTCATTTAACCAAACATTGTAATTTACATTCATGCTAAACAAACCAAACAATGTAATACAATATTCCCAGAGTAATGTTACATTTCGGTAATTATATTCCCAAAGATAATCTTACATTCCGTGAACCAAACGTACCGTAATGTTAAGTAACAATTAGCGTAGTTTTTCTTATTAAAAGTTAAGGGTTATTTACTAGATTGATTACTTTTGTTTATGTTTTGTCCACGTTTCCTTAATGATTTTCAAAAAAATAATATTTGACTACTTTCTTTTTCATTTGATTAAGATATAGTCACCGAAGGTTAATTACCGTTAGACCTTTAATTGATTGATGATGTGACACGATAGTAAAAGGATTTAATTTTTATTTTAATCCTTTAATTTTAAATAAAATATTAATTATGGGCCTTTTTGTAACTCAAAGTAATTTAGAGACAAAAAAAATTAATTTAACCATTTTTATCATGTTTTTCTTTTCAATCCCTAGCTTCTTGGTGTTCATCTTCCCGATGTGTTCACCTTCTTCGATAAAAATTAATCCTAACCCATAAATACTTCCAAATGAATAAGAATCATATACCTTTCTAAAAAGGCTACTAAAAGAGCAAACCCCATAGCTATAATTAATATTTTATTTAAAATTAAGACATCAAAGTAAAAATTAAATATTTTTACTAACGTACGTCAATAATTCGTTAAAAATCTAATAATAATTAATTTTCAGTTATCATATCTTAATTAAATAAAAATAAAAAGACCAAATATTATTATTTTGAAATCGATGAAATTTTTTTTACAAAAACATAAACAAAAGTAATTAATTATATAATTAATCCTAAAATTATCATATAATAACTCTTAAATATTTGACATTTAACTCTTCCTCCTTATATTTATCTGGAGACCTAGACTAGCAACAATTATTCCACCGCTCGTTTGATTCATGCCTGGATCACGTGCGTGCCAGGTC